AAAAAAAAAAAAAAAAAAAAAAAAAAAAGACAGAAAAAAAGGATTGTAGGAAAACCCAAAAACAACAACCTTGTATTATTTAAGTTTACCACACATACAGAAAAGTGCACATACCAAAATGTTCAGCTCAATTACATTTCACAAACTGAACACTCATGCAAGTAGCTCTCGTAACAAAACACACAACGCAACCAGGACCTCAAAGTCCTCTTAGTGTCGGAACCCGATTTTAATCGATTACATGTACTTTGTAAATTTAGCCTGAGAGAGAGATCACGTATTTGAAGACGTCTCGTATCTTTCCTTCATCTGCCCTCCTCACTTTCCCACGCCTCGCCCACACAGAGAAGCATGCGCGTACCCACCACCGCTCCCTCCCCACCTCAGACTGGGGACCACCGTTGTGTTTTTTATTTTTTTGTAAATGAACGCATGGAAACAAACCAGCAACATCTTCAGTGGAACAGGTATGTTAGTACCAAACTGTCAAAAGGAACTAGTGATCCTTCATCTTAAAAATCTGTTCACTATGGCCGGGCGTGGTGGCTCACGCCTGTAATCCCAGCACTTTGGGAGGCCAAGGCGGGCGGATCACGAGGTCAGGAGTTCGAGACTAGCCTGGCGTGAAACCCCGTCTCTACTAAAAATGCAAAAAATTAGCCGGGCTTGGTGGCGGGCGCCTGTAATTCCAGCTATTCGGGAGACTGAGGCAGGAAAATCGCTTGAACCCGGGAGCTGGAGGTTACAGTGAGCCGAGATCGCGCCATTGCACTCCAGCCTGGGTGACAGAATGAAACTCCGTCTCGGGGAAAAAAAAAAAAAAAATCTGTACTATAGGGTGTTGCTCTCTATGAGTGCTATTTTAACGTAGGTACCTCTCAGGACTCCTCTCGGAATATTCAACATGGCCGCATGCGCGTCTATAAGCAACATGGCCGCTCTGCCAGTCACCAACATGGCAACCACAGCCTCACTGTGCCCGGAAGCAAGAGAGAGCTGGTAATAAGGACTATATTGGCCGCTCTGCCAACACCTAACGTGGCTCTCTTTATAGCTTCCAAGAAAGCGCGACACCGGAAATGACTTTTCTGTCTGGCTCATCTCTAGGGGTCATTTTCCGGTTAGCCTTCGGGGTGCCCGCGAGAGAGTTGGTTATATCCTGGAGCGAGTGCTGGGAGGTGCTAGTCCGCCGCGCCTTATTCGAGAGGCGTCAGGGCTGGGAGACTAGGATGTCGGACACGTGGAGCTCTATCCAGGCCCACAAGAAGCAGCTGGACTCTCTGCGGGAGAGGCTGCAGCGGAGGCGGAAGCAGGACTCGGGGCATTTGGGTGAGGCACTGGGCTGCTGGGGCCGAGGCTCAACTGGGGAGGACGGGCGGGATCCCTAGAGAAAAAGCTTCAGAGTCACTGCCCTTTACCAAACGGCCGTTTCTATAAAGCCTCGTACATTGGTACTCTGTCTCCCCCTTCAGCAGCACAGACCTTCGCCCTTCTGCAAGTAGTTCGCCGTTCCTCCTCACCCTGGGCCTCGGTTCTTCTTGCTCACTTTTATCGGACGGATGCTTGAGCCCCACCCTCGTCCTCCTTGCCCATTCCTCTTTAGACTGCGAGGACGTCGCCTTTGTGAGGCTTCTCAGCCCCCTATCCCACGAAGCAGCAAGAACCGCTTTTTGTTGCTGCTGTGGCGCTTTGTTCCCTCAGTTATAACGACTATTTTGTAGTGGTCATTTTTTGGCACCTGTGGGTACAGTAAGCAAGGAAAGAACCTTCATATCCACAGTGCCCAATTTAGTGGCCCGTACAGAGTGGCACTTGGTGTTTTTGAATGAGTACCCCTACCGGCATTGTCTTAGCAATTTACATACCTAGCAGGAATCTGAAAATATTTGTGTTTGATTTCCAAACTTTTTCTCCTCTCCTGTTGCCCCTATGTCGCGATCATAAAACTTGAAGGAAATTTAAAAGATTGTTAAGTTCACTCTTATCCACTCCTTACCCCCAGGACAAACTCTGAATTATTTAAGGCAAACTAGTAACAAAGCTCTGCAAAAATAGTGACTCAATATCACCCTTGTGGTAGATTGTTCCAATATTTGTCAGTATCTTCAACTCCATCTCTAAATCTTGTCTAGATCATGTTAGGTTCATGTGCTCATATTCTGGCCCCTAGAAATAGAAGATACACTGGCAGGATCCTCTCACCTAATTAATTATCCTTTCTTAGCTACAGTGTTCATGGGTCTAATTAGACAAAAATAAGTAAGAAATTGCCCCTGTCCTCAAGAATTTTTAAAACCATAGGATTCAAAGGTAGATGCTTACAAAAAGGAATATAAAAGGATATATGTATGAAACCAAACGAATGAATCTACAGTCTGTACAGTGAAGAGAAGTAACGAGCTGGTGTAGGTAGTGAAGCCATCAAAGCCATCATAGTGGAATTGGCACTTGAATTTGGCCTTTATGGCTATATAGGACCTAGATAATTAAAGAGGTAAGAGGGGAGGATAGTAGAGTAAGAAGTGCAAGTCATTTGATCAGGCAATAATTAGTAGTTAAGTCTCAGAGTAGTTCCTGAATTACCTAAGAGGCAGAGTTTTTTTTTTTTCCCTTGCTCTAGAAACTTCATTGATTTATTTATAGATACAATTTTTTGTTTTGTTTTGTTTTGTTTCCCCTATCCTGTTTTGAAACTTTTTTTTTTTTTTGAGACGGAGTCTCGCTCTGTCACCCGGGCTGGAGTGCAGTGGCCGGATCTCAGCTCACTGCAAGCTCCGCCTCCCAGGTTTACGCCATTCTCCTGCCTCAGCCTCCCGAGTAGCTGGGACTACAGGCGCCTGCCACCTCGCCCGGCTAGTTTTTTGTATTTTTTAGTAGAGACGGGGTTTCACCGGGTTAGCCAGGATGGTCTCGATCTCCTGACCTCGTGATCCGCCCGTCTCGGCCTCCCAAAGTGCTGGGATTACAGGCTTGAGCCACCGTGCCCGGCCCTGTTTTGAAACTTTTTAAAAATGTGCATAAATGATGCCAGCGACTTTTTTTGCTTTTGTTTTTGAGATAGGATCTCTCATCGTTGCCCAGGCTGGAGTGTAGCAGTCCTCCCAGCTCATCCTGTGAGTAGCTAGGACTACAGGTGCATGCCACCATGCCTGGCTAATTTAAAAATTTTTAATAGCGATAAGGTCTCATTATGTTGCCCAAATTTGTCTTGAACACCTGGGCTCAAGCTGTCCTCTTGCCTACGCCTCCCAAAGTGTTTGAATTACAGGTGAGAGCCACCATATCCAGGCTATTTAATTTTCTTGTGGAATCTTTTCCCTTTCAGTAATGGCAGTTGCAAAAGGGGACCTAAGGATCAGGTAATTGTTTGTTTCAACAGAGTGATCTGCAAAATTAGTTAGTTAGTTAGTTAGTTAGAGACAGAGTCTCCCTCTGTCACCCAGGCTGGAGTGCTGTGGCATGATCATGGCTCATCGCTGCCTTGACTTCCCAGGCTCCAGCGATCCTCCCACTTCAACCTCTCAAGTAGCTGGGGCCACAGGCGTGTGCTACCACGCTCAGCTAATTTTTGTATTTTTGGTAGACGAGGTTTCACCATGTTGCCCGGGCTGGTCTCTGAACTCCTGAGCTAAAGCAGTCCACTCACCTTGGCCTCCCAAAGTGCTGGGATTACAGGCGTGATAAGCCACCATGCCTGGCCTAATTAACTTTAAAAAAATTAACTTTTAAAAAGCCACTATATTGGTGTACTACATCATTGATTACTTTGTGTTCACGTTTCTGTCGTTTTTGTAACAGACCATCCTCTGTCTGTGGTGGTGGTGGTTGTTTCTTGGTTTTAATTGTTCCTCATCATACTTATTTTTTTTTCTTTTTTTTGAGACGGAGTTTTTGCTCTTGTTTCCCAGGCTGGAGTGCAATGGTGCGATCTCTGCTCACCGCAACCTCCGCCTCCCAGGTTCAAGCGATTCTCCTGCCTCACCCTCCCGACTAGCTGGGATTACAGGAATGTGTCACCACTCCCGGCTAATTTTGTATTTTTAGTAGAGACAGGGTTTCTCCATGTTGGTCAGGCTGGTCTCGAACTCTGGACCTCAGGTGATCTGCCCGCCTCGGTTTCCCAAAGTGCTGGGATTACAGGTGTGAGCCACTGTGCCGGGCATCGTACTTCTTTATACTTTTCCATTTCTAAATTCATACTCTTTCAATGAATGATTCTAATTGTTCTTGGTCATTTTAAGCTTCATTTCATTTTTCTTTTTTGTTGGTTTTTTTTTTTTTTTTTTTTTGAGGCGGAGTTTTGCTCTTGTTGCCCAAGCTGGAGTGCAATGGCACGATTCTCCTGCCTCAGCCCCCTGAGTAGCTGGGACTACAGGTGCATGCCACCACACGTGCTAATTTTTTTGTATTTTTAGTAGAAACGGGGTTTCACCGTGTTAGCCAGGATGCTCTTGATCTCCTGACCTCATGATCCGCTTGCCTCGGCCTCCCAAAGTGCTGGGATTACAGGCATGAGCCACTGTGCCCGGCCATTTCGTTTTTCCATGATATTAGCTACATTTTGGTATTAGCCAAACTTTTTGCTGTATGCAGACCTAACTACTAGAGCCTTGATACTTTCATCCAGGTCCTTGCTAAACATGTTTAATATTTTTGACACTAAGACTGTATTCTCCCTGCATGTAAATATCCTTTTTTATGTTTATTTTTTCTTTTTTAGATATGAGTATCTCTTGACTTGTATATCTAGCTAATAATATAGCTAAGACCCTTTTTTCTGTGTGTGTGTGTGTAAGACAAGAATCTCATTCTGTTACCCAGGCTGGAGTTCAGTGACATGAACACAGCTCACTGCAGTCTTGACCTCAGGGCTCAAGTGATCCTCCTGCCTCAGCCTCCTCCTGAGTGGCTAGCACCACAGGTGTGCCCTGCAATGCACGCGTAATTTTTAATTTTAATTTTTTTGCAGAAACCGGGCCTTGCCATGTTGCCCAGGCTGGTCTTGGACTCTTGGACTCAATCTGTCCTCCCACCTTGGCCTCCCAAAGTGCTAGGATTACAGACGTAATCCCAGCCTAGTTAAGACTCTTATAAAAGTATTTCTGGGGTTGTAATTAAATGTATCTTGTCTTCTGACCCAGAGCTTGATCTGACCCATCATTTGGTACTGTGGTAATAGGTAAAGATGAAACACACAAATTAAACCAGAATGTCACTGTTCTTTCTGTGTTATTTTGATTATTTCAAAGAATGTATTTTGTTGAGCTTTAGGATTCTTAGGAAACCCTTGTGAAACATACTCTATCGTAAGTTTATTAATCATGTTGTCATGTAAGATACAACCCAAGACTTGATAAAAGTTCAGATTATTCCATTCATTTCTCACCGGAAATAAAAATTTGCATACCACATCTTGTTTTTTATAGCATTACTGAAATCTGATAATTATCGACTACTGAACTCAGTGTCAAAAGACAAGGATAGAAAATGAACTAAAATGTATCCATATCATTAATAGTGGAAAATACTGTGGGCAAAATATTGGGAGACCTTCGTTAGATTGGCATTTTTATCATTCACTCATTCATTCATTCATTCATTCATTCATTCATTCATTTATTTATTTATTTATTTATTTATTTATTTATTGAGATGGAGTTTTGCTCTTGTTGCCCAGGCTGGAGTGCAGTGGCACAATCCTGTCTCTTATACACATCTAGATGTGTATAAGAGAGTGCTGTGGCATGATCATGGCTCACCGCTGCCTTGACTTCCCAGGCTCCAGCGATCCTCCCACTTCACCCTCTCAAGTAGCTGGGGCCACAGGCGTGTGCTACCACGCTCAGCTAATTTTTGTATTTTTGGTAGACGAGGTTTCACCATGTTGCCCGGGCTGG